ACCTTGTGACATAATAATAAATGTAATAAATTCTAATCCTATCATTTTATATTAATCCGTGTGTTTTTATATTCCCCCCATAGTGTTTGTAATCTAACACCGAGCCTATTCTTAGATAGATAATATTTCTTTAATATCATAAATCACATTTCAGATTCATTACACAATGATGGCGTGTGAGCAGTCAAATATATTTAAAATGACAATAACTCGTTTCCTGTTCGTACCGTAATCTTTCTTTCTCTGTACAAAATTATTAAAGTGCACGGTCACACATTGCTTTTTTTTAAACTTTATTTTGTGTCCCTGTATTAGATCTAAAATTTTCTTTATTTTTCCTTAATTTTCTTTTCTACATGAGAAAACTTAGCGAATCATTTTCCTTATGTAGAGCTCAGTTGAAACTTGATGAAGGGTACAACAGGAATGTTTTATTATGGCCAGGTGACCCACTTTTATACACAGACCCCCAGCAAGGGGTCTCCAGCAAGGACATAGCCTAACACTCCCAGAGCACGCTCATCATACTCCCACAACACGCCCAGGAGTCTCTGTGTCTGGGAGATAATTTAGTGTACTTTGCTTAAACTAATTATCTCCCAGGCACTAGAGTTACAAATTATAAAACATAAAATATAAAAAATACATACAATACATACATAGGAACACCCACAAATATTATATCCCCGGATTGCCTGGATCGGAGCGCCCAAGTTGTTCAAATAGTGCTTAGATCCCACGAACACAGCTGAATCGCCACCGCGGTAAAGTTTTGACCGACCGCACATGTGGCGTCTGCCCAAATTGGTTCCAGAGAAATAATGGTAGCGGTCAGTCACTTCCGGGAGTTCCATACGAACAAACAGATGAACGGTTCCCCTGGCTCATAGGTAGACTTTGTGGTTTATCTGAAGTAATGAGCCGGGGGGTGGTCGGTGTTCGATAGATCCATCCATATGACCATTAATAATCAAGGGACATATGGAAAGGAAAACAGAAAGAAGTGACCGTGCCACTTTAAGAAGAGTTTTCAGGGTAAGCCCTAAATTTGCTTTTCTCTTTACATGCATAATTTTTATTTAAACAATACATTATTTTAATACGGCCATCTCACTTGCCTCAATAATATGTACAATTACAACCAAGTGTTCCAGCATCTTGCAACGTTTCTTATTAATTAGTTTTCATCTGTGCCCTTCAAATATTTATCACACCACACATGGATAATGAAGATCACCTGAAAAATGTAGGCAAGGTGGAGGGGAGGGGGGATAACAAACTAAAATCTGAAATCTGAAGAGTAATAAATTAAATAGGAAAAAACTGACAGGATTATTGTAATTAAAGCAGAACTTTAACCTAAAAATATTTTCATAAATCCGTAGAGGATTCCTTCTTGTCTTGATTCAGTTTTCCTTTTTAAACTGTTGTGTGGGTTTTACATTTGTGTCTTTAAATGACTGTGGTTTCGATTTTTTTTACATTTATTAATTTATTTTGTAAGGAATTTAACTTGCGGTGGCAGTAATTACGCTAGGAGAAAATAATCAGATTGCTAATTAACTGTTTCCTGAGTCCCGTAACATTGCTTAAAGTGGAGCCAATCAGGAAAAAAGTGCATTCTGGGAAATAAGAATTGTTGCCATAGCAACCAAGTAGATGTTCGCCTGCATGAAGCAACATTGTTTTCGTCTGTGACACGTGCTAATAATATAATTAATTAATTCAGGGAACTACATTCATCAATAGTTTGCTTCCTGTAGTAAAACACTCTGGATTTGTTTTCATCTAGTCCCTATGGAAATATAGTCAAGAAACAAACAAACCTATTCTGATCAGTAGTTTTATTACACAAATTACACAACGTTATTTATTAATATTTATCACAATTTATTTCTGTGTTGATACTTTGTGTTACTTCAGATATTTCGTGGTCTCCCTCTGGTTACGTTGTTCTATGTCACTGGGTGCTTTGGTGCCCACACCTTTATCTCCAGTCAGCATTATATTCACAGCTTTGTTTCTGCTGCTAGTATCCAGGGTTAAGCCCTTTGGGCATTGCTGGAGCGCCCTCCTGGTACACGGGATCAGTGTGGGGGTGGTGTTTATTCCCTTCTACACCCATTTTCACACCTATCCCATTTTTTTTCTTTTTTTTCTGGGTATTCTGATCAGTAGTTTTCTAATTTTGAAAAAACTAGATATTTTGATATAGCGATTGCCCTAAGGATTCACTTACAAAAGTCGCTGTCATTATAGCAATGCTATAATGTTGCCGTGTTCAAAATGCTTAGGGTCACCATTGCTTTTCTTGTCTAAGAATTACGGGAACTCAAGGCATTGTGAAGGCTTAAAAGTCTCTATTTCAGCAGAATTGGGTTTCACTCCTTAAATAAATAATCTAAACACCAAACAATACTAGCTTAATGAACCAGTTTTGGTGTACAAATCATGCTTCTGTTTGTGCAGCCTGCATCAACATGGCTTAATTCTCGATCAGATATAATATCACATTGTGTTTACTTTAGAATTTATATTCTCCTGCTCTCTTAATTGAACTTTAATCACATACAGGACTCTAGCAGGTAATTTCCAGAGTAGGAGATAGGAAATTCTAAATTAAACCCACTGAAGGTTAAACAGTAGATCTTTCTTTACATAAATAGTGTAAGTCACAGAGGTGTGACCAGGGCTGCATAAGCAAAGTGATTTAAATGGCACACATTCGAACAGTGAGACTGTGGGGGCATGATCTATATGTCAAAATAGCTTCATTAAGCTGAAGTTGCTTTGGTGCTTAGAGTGTCCCTTTAACTACTATTTTTGCCTGCATTTTCTTAGCCTCCACATCTTACCATTTAGTGAATACACCTATTAATATTCTGTTTACCAATGGGTGCATGAATCATCCGAAGTGAGAATTCTATAAACTGCATAACTGCATTTAGGCTGAATTAGATGACCCATGTTGCTTCAATGTATTTATGCTTTTTTATCAACTCAGATAGATCACGTGTTCATAGTCTATTAATGCTAATTTATTTCTGACAGATTTTGTTTAATATAGTTTAAAAAGATGTTGGGCACAAGAAGGTTGTTAATCCAGCCTCACTCGATCGAGAGATTACGAGCAGAATGCTTCGCCTTGTCTCTGTTTAGAGTTCCATAGCAACAAGATCAGTCAAGTAAGACAGCAATGAATGGCTGTACAGTTTCTTTATCCGCTATCATTCAGCTGTACAATAGAGCCATTAAAGACACATTACATATCAATTGTTTAACCTAAGAATACTGGAGAAATTGTCTGTGTTGCATGAACAGACACACTTGAAATCAGAAATTGTTCTCTCCTCATAAAATGTCAAGTAGCAACACTTCTATAAACTATATAACCATATAAACAGCTTGGATTGACTGCCGAGCTGTGTGAGGAATGGAAGTCACCGGCCTTAAAATGATCAATAAATCAGACCCCTGAACTCATTGATTAAATCAAAAGCCCCAACTACCATTTCATTTCTTTCAGTTTTTTTGGTAGATTTTATAAGAAAATCTATAGACACTTATGTTCTTTAAAGAAACACACACATAAAGCAGCTCAATACTTTACATTTATAACGGGTATTAAAGTGACACGGTAGGGGCTGCTTTAATGCGTAACTGTCCCTTCACAAGATTTTTATATCCCTATATTTAACAAATTACATATTTGTAAAATGTGAAAACTAACATATTATGTAGAAATCCATCTCTTTGAACCTGTAACTGGGGTTACAACAATGATTGACAGGGAGCTAAGATGGTGGTGGCTCTCTCAATCATTGTTATAAGCTCCGCCCATTACACCTGGCAGTCAGCTTAGAGAGAGCCACCTCCATCTTAGCTCCCTGTCAATCATTGTTATAAGCCCCGCCCATTACACCTGGCAGTCAGCTTAGAGAAAGCCACCTCCATCTTAGCTCCCTGTCAATCATTGTTATAAGCTCCGCCCATTACACCTGGCAGTCAGTATAGAGAGAGCCATCTCCATCTTATCTCCCTGTCAATCATTGTTATAAGCTCTGCCCTTTACACCTGGCAGTCAGTATAGAGAGAGACGCCTCCATCTTAGCTCCCTGTCAATCATTGTTATAAGCTCCGCCCATTACACCTGGCAGTCAGTATAGAGAGAGCCACCTCCATCTTAGCTCCCTGTCAATCATTGTTATAAGCTCCGCCCTTTACACCTGGCAGTCAGTATAGAGAGAACCGCCTCCATCTTAGCTCCCTGTCAATCATTGTTATAAGCTCCGCCCATTACACCTGGCAGTCAGTATAGAGAGAGCCACCTCCATCTTAGCTCCCTGTCAATCATTGTTATAAGCTCCGCCCTTTACACCTGGCAGTCAGTATAGAGAGAGACGCCTCCATCTTAGCTCCCTGTCAATCATTGTTATAAGCTCCGCCCTTTACACCTTTCAGTCAGTATAGAGAGCCACCTCCATCTTAGCTCCCTGTCAATCATTGTTATAAGCTCCGCCCTTTACACCTGGCAGTCAGTATAGAGAGAGACGCCTCCATCTTACCTCCCTGTCAATCATTGTTATAAGCTCCGCCCTTTACACCTGACAGTCAGTATAGAGAGAGAGCCACCTCCATCTTAGCTCCCTGTCAATCATTGTTATAAGCTCCGCCCATTACACCTGGCAGTCAGTATAGAGAGAGCCACCTCCATCTTAGCTCCCTGTCAATCATTGTTATGAGCTCCGCCCATTACACCTGGCAGTCAGTATAGAGAGAGCCACCTCCATCTTAGCTCCCTGTCAATCATTGTTATAAGCTCCGCCCTTTACACCTGGCAGTCAGTATAGAGAGAGCCGCCTCCATCTTAGCTCCCTGTCAATCATTGTTATAAGCTCCGCCCTTTACACCTGGCAGTCAGTATAGAGAGAGCCGCCTCCATCTTAGCTCCCTGTCAGTCATTGTTATAAGCCCACCTTTGGCAGTCAGCAGAGCCGCCCTCCATCTTAGCTCCCTGTCAATCATTGTTATAAGCTCCGCCCTTTACACCTGGCAGTCAGCAGAGAGAGCCACCTCCATCTTAGCTCCCTGTCAATCATTGTTATAAGCTCCGCCCTTTACACCTGGCAGTCAGTATAGAGAGAGCCACCTCCATCTTAGCTCCCTGTCAATCATTGTTATAAGCTCCGCCCTTTACACCTGGCAGTCAGTATAGAGAGAGCCGCCTCCATCTTAGCTCCCTGTCAATCATTGTTATAAGCTCCGCCCTTTACACCTGGCAGTCAGTATAGAGAGAGCCGCCTCCATCTTAGCTCCCTGTCAATCATTGTTATAAGCTCGCCCTTTACACCTGGCAGTCAGTATAGAGAGAGCCCCTCCATCTTAGCTCCCTGTCAATCATTGTTATAAGCTCCGCCCTTTACACCTGGCAGTCAGTATAGAGAGAGCCACCTCCATCTTAGCTCCCTGTCAATCATTGTTATAAGCTCCGCCCTTTACACCTGGCAGTCAGTATAGAGAGAGCCACCTCCATCTTAGCTCCCTGTCAATCATTGTTATAAGCTCCGCCCTTTACACCTGGCAGTCAGTATAGAGAGAGCCACCTCCATCTTAGCTCCCTGTCAATCATTGTTATAAGCTCAGCCCTTTACACCTGGCAGTCAGTATAGAGAGAGCCACCTCCATCTTAGCTCCCTGTCAATCATTGTTATAAGCTCAGCCCTTTACACCTGGCAGTCAGTATAGAGAGAGCCACTTCCATCTTAGCTTCCTGTCAATCATTGTTATAAGCTCCGCCCTTTACACCCGGCAGTCAGTATAGAGAGAGCATAGAGAGAGGAGGAAAAATATTAACAATCTTTCATATGCATATAAAAATCAGAACATCATTTAAAAAGATTATAGGTGATTTTAAATGTCTTATTTAATGGTGTTCTTAACAGGTTAAAAGGTTTGTCTGTAAAAGCAATCTATAGTGTTGGATTCTTTTAGCAGTATAAGCATTTACTGAGTAGAAATTCTATTGTTGAGGTTTTTTAGAAACTGCAATTCAGTAAACAAAGTAAATCTTTAGTAAAGAGAATCCGGCCCTTTAACATTAGCGTGCAAAAAAGAGACAGACGCCCATTGATGGAGGAATCAATGCAATATATTTCACTTGCATCGACACAATATAAATGTTATATTGAACTGGGCCGTATTACATCTCAGGCTCTTAAAGTTCCAAATTCTCAGTAACCCATTACGTTCCCCAAAAAATGTAGGTGTGTGAAACTTCCTTCATATTTTGAAAGGAGCACATGGCAGCCAGGGATCAGTGAAGGAAACTAGACCTTACCAGACAGTTGACTTAGGATCGTTACTACCATACCAATTGGTAAATCCAGCCCTGAACATTAAAGAGATGTAATAATGGTCTGAAGTCTCGCGTTTCCTATCTGAAACCAAGACCCAGTGATGTTTACAAGGAGAGCAGCCAAATGAATATTCCATCATTGTCTTACCCCTTTCCTCCTCTTCAAAAAGTGACTGTGAAAAGAGACCAATATAAACACAAAGCAATATGTAAAGAAGTAACATCACATTACTAAAATGTTATATTGTGGGCAACTAACCTGCATTGTAAAAATAAAGCTAATACAAAGGAAATGAAAAACATTTTCTGTAATGAAAAATGAAAAGAGGACAAATAGTGTAGGAACGGGTCACTTAGACTTTGTTTAAAGTCCCAACCCATAGGACAACTTACACCAACCAAAATCCCATGTTTCTATAAATTTTAGATTAATACTGTCAAGACTGAAAAATATAATTAAATTTACCAGCAGAGAAATAGCATCTCCAACACAGAGGGCAACATTACCAGCCCACCTAATGCTATTCACTGGAAGGCAGAATGTTTCACTAGTCTCTCATTATAGAGCATTTTATGTAAGACTTTAAAGCTTTTACCAAGTCTTCACTTGTATGCTTGGTCTAATGGTTCATGCTCACTTTGCCAAAGTCATGTCAACACTCTTATGGATTTGGCAAACCTAGAAGACGTCACGTCCTTTGCCCCGTCTTAATTGGTTAATGTCATCTCCCTTAAATTTAGTTTATTTCTCACTGAATCAATCTTTCTGCATGGCAGTCTCCTGTCAATCTCTCTCTTTCTCTCTCTCTCTCTCTCTCTTTCTCTTTCTCTTTCTATCTTTCCTTCTCTCTCTCTCTCTCTGCATCCCTTCATATTTTCCATGTTTCCAATTTTCTCCCTCTTTACGTATTTCCTTGTCTCACCTCTTTCTCAATCTTGGAAATGCAATTCCTTTGACACCTTTGTGGAAGAAATGTGAATTCATCACCTCTGACATTCGACATATTATATTAAAGTTTGAAGTTTCTGTGTCTTAAAGGTTTGAACATCTGTCTCACGCAATTTACATATCGCATTTGAATTGAAAGCCAATGCAACGTGGTTTGTAAGATTATCTACCCTGCGTTCTTCTTATGTGATGCCAAATCATTGACAAATGAAAAAAATAACCCAGTAAATGAGACAAAAAAATGTGCATTTCTGGTGCCATCTGTTTAGATAAGAACTTGCATTATCTCCACGTCTAGCAAAGTAAATAACTCGTTCTATTTCACAAATTCTTTGGCAGGAAGAAGTCCCTCTGTAACATCCTAAAAAGAAGGATTGGTATCAGACGTGTATTCCACATTCAGCTCTCTAATGCGGTAAGAACTTTGAATCAATTGGTGATCTTGGTCGGAGGCCAACATCCTTATCTGGGGTTGCGCACCCATCCCAGGGCCGTCACATAGCAGATGTTTCAAATCAGATCATTATCCTGGATAACGATGGCAGAAAGTAAGGAGTCTGCGCCAATAGCAGCCGAGGAGAGATAAATCGTAACATCAATTGCGATCGGTCAAAATCTCCAAGAAAAGATGTGAAGAAACTGCTTTGGAGATCTTGTAACTGCAGAGCCCTTTATCATTTCTAAGATGTGTAAAAATGGAAACATATTATATTAGTCATAAAATAAAACATCATGTTATGCAGGTGAATAAGTTCATTTTTGTTCAATATACCAAAAGAATGGCTCATGATCTCTTTTCAATTGACATTTTGATTCAAAAGCTTCTATTTTTAGCTACAACACTTGCAAGTTATAGTCTGTGCTTTCTATATTGGTATTTTTATTATTGGCATGTATAAAGTGCCAACTTGTTCCCCAGCTCTCTACAATTGGGGAAAAAGACAGAACAATATACACAGACCAATACAAAAGGTAACGAAGGCCATGCCTGTGTGCGGAAACCTGGCTAGATAACCCGGGAGCTTACAATCTAAATCCATCATTTTTAGATAAAAGGATATTGTGGTAGATTGAATTTAATAGCAGTACATTTGATTAATGCAAATTCCTGATAGTCCAAATTGTCAGTCATAAAATATACTAAACATTACATATATATGTTTTATGTAACAGAGATTGACTACTCACACAGGCCTGTAATAGGAGATTTTATGGTTTTTCAGAAGCTAAATGTGCATTTTCCTTCACCATCTCCATGTGACCAGGCCAGTTGGGAACTAAGCAATTAGAGATATCAGCTTATAAATACAAAAACTAGTTTAGGACACCTGAACTAAATCAGGCTTAATGTTGACAGTTGAAAATAGTGGTCGATTGAGTCATTGAATCCACGGCCAGATTTATATCTCAGGTGTGCTAAGTAAGCATAGTAGCATCCTAATTTGCTACGTTAGCATGGTACCACGATAGTCAGTTACACCATGATCAATTAAAATACCACACCCCCATTATCAGTTCCAGTAGCATTGTACCTCCATTATCAGTTTCAGTAGCATTTTACCCCCATTATAAGTTACAGTAGCATTGTATCCCACTGATCAGTTACAGTAACATTGTACCCCAGTGATCAGTTACAGTGGTATTGTACCCTGATGATCAGTTCCAGTAGCATTGTACCCCAATGATCACTTAGAGTAGCCCTGTACTGCAATGGTCAGTTACAGTAGCATTGTACCCCAATGATCAGTTATAGTAGAATTGTACCCTGATGATCAGTAACAGTAGCATTATACCCAGAATATCAGTTCCAGTAGCATTGTACCCCGATGATCAGTTAGAGTACCATTGAACCCCATTATCATTTACAGGAACATTGTTCCCCAGTGATAAGGTAGAGTAGCACTATAATATAATGATAAGTTACAGTAGCATCGTACCCAGACAATCAGTTACAGTAGGATTGTACCCAGTCAATCAGTTACAGTAGGATTGTACCCAGTCAATCAGTTACAGTAGGATTGTATCCCAATTATCAGTTAGAGTTGCACCATGCTACACTGATCAGTTCCAGTAGCATTGACCAAGATCAGCTGCAGTAATACTATACCATCATGATTTTCTACAGTATCAGTGGTGTTGTGTAGCTGTTATTAGTGGTGTTGTGTACCTGTTATCAGTGGTGTTGTGTAGCGGTTATCATTGCTGCTGCGTAGCTGCTATAAGTTGCTATTGAAAGAAGTTATATCAGCCCAGCTTAGACTGTACATGTATGCTCTAGGCTGACATCAAGTTCACCTATAGGTTAATGCCAGCCCTGGAGACATCCCGTAGCTAAGACGTAGAGCAGAGAATCCTTCGAGAACAAACATTCTGCTCTCTTTCTTGGAGACCCAAATATTAAACTAAATCTGCAGGCAGAGCCAACACAAAGCTCTCGGGTCTTTCTGACAGTGAAAGTTAACATGGAAAATCTTGATTTATGAACTACATTAAAACAAAAAGCAGGCAAATAATATCAGAAAGGTTCCTCATTCAGCGTGCAATATCGTATTCTTACAGAATAAGCAAAAATATTCGAAACTAAATTAGTGTTTTGTATTAAATGATGCTAAGGCATTAAATGATGCATGGAAATCAATTCAGACCTGGGGGGTCGAACTACATCTAGTGATGTGATGGAACAACATTTATTGTCGTAAAAAGACAGGCAACAAATGATACATTACTCGAGCATCGCATATCCATCGACACTCAACCCTCTCCAGTATTATATAGTGTTACGTATGTGTTCTGAGCTTGATAAAGACCCGGTTGGGCTGAAACGTTGCTGCTTTTGCCCCAATAAAGCTGCTATTTCTGCTATCCTCGAGTGCCTGAACCGTTATTTATTCTGAATACACAGTATGTCTTTTTATATGATTT